CTCTCCCCCCCCCTTTTCTCCTTTCAAGTCTTGAAAAATAAGCATTTGGAAGTCTTGGGAGGCCTGCCTCCTGGAATCCTAATGTGAGGATGCAAAAGAAATGAAGGTAGCCTTTGGAGATGATGCAAAGGAGTAGTAGGTATTTCTGCTTTTATTTTATTTTCTGGGGAAAGCCGGAGGAAGAGAGAAGGGTGTTTTGTTTTGTTTGATACCCTGAAAAGAAGTGATGACTTGTTGCTTTTCAAAACAGGAATGCATTTCCCCCCTTGTCTTTGTTGTAAGAGACAAAAGAGGAAACAAAAGTGTCTCTGAGGAAAGGCGTAACTGTGAAGACAGCAAATTTTACAGGCAAAGTAGCGCAAACCTGAGGTTTCTTCTCTCTGGATGTTAATTTGGTTGAGATAAACATTCCTTTTTAAGGAAAGGTGAAAGGCAAGTGTGTTTCCGTACCCCCATTGGGTCAGAGATTCTGACTTGGCCAAAGGAAATGCAAGGGGGTTTGTTGTTTGCTTTATATCAATTTTAATTCAGAACACATGATCCAATGAAATGGGCTCTGTTCAAATGTGAAGGGAAATCCCTCCCTTCATTTTTTTTTTTCTTCCTAGAAACCTGCCTGTAGGTTTCCTTTCTATATTTTTTCTCCAACTTGAATCCTCCTAGGTAAAAGGAAGAGCATAATGTTTTCAGCCTCCATTATACAGACAAGTTAAATTTTAGAACTAAGAAAAATTTTTGTCCTGTTGTCATAGTCCCATAAATCCATCTATAACACATCATGTGTATGCTGATCCCGTCTTTGTGTGGCTGGGTGGGGAGGTGACCTGCAGAAATGATAGTAAATGAAGAGGACTATTCAAATGAGGGGCCCCCTTCTTAAAGAAAGTCATTAAAAGAAGGTAAACTTCAAAGTAATGCTGGAGTCCTTTGAAATGTGCTGGATGACTTAAATTTATTAATCTTAAATCATGTACTTTTTTTTTTCTATAATAGAACTCTGATTCTTTTGCATAATGGCCTAAAGCTGAGCAGAGGATCATGGGAACTAACCTTTACTCCACCTTTGACACCACCCTCCAATCTTGCAACACTGTCGTATTTCTCAAAACAGTTTTAAAATGCTGTTTTGAACAGTTTTTAAATCATAGAGGGTACGGTCAGGAATACAAGTTACTTTCTATAATGTTCAGTCGAGTGGAGCTGCTTTTTATATTAAAGTTATTGACCTTGGGTTTCTTACATCTCCAAAACTGTCTCATTTGTCAGATTTTTAAAACTCCCACCACGCAGTTCTTTGGCATCTTTTGTGTTGTATCTCTTGCATGTGAAATTTGTAAAATAGAGACAAGTGCGGTATGTATATTTTGTAAATCTCCCATTTTTGTAAGAAAATATATATTGTATTTATACATTTTTACTTTGGATTTCTGTTTTGTTTTGCCTTTAAAAGTCTACAAGGAAGCCCCACTTTATCACATGTACAGATCACAAAATAAATTTTTTTTAAAATACCAAGTGAATGTTTATTTAGTTTACAGTGCCCATATATATCAGTCAGCCAAAAAACTAAGCTTTAGTGGTATGGAAACAAGGTGTGAGGAAACACATTGGATGGGTCTCAAAGAGGAAGAGATGGTCTATAGGGTATCCCCCCAAAATGTATACACACTTTGAATAATTATCAATTCCAAAATGGGTTAAATCTGAAAAAAAAAAAAGAAACATCAATTGAGCTATCATCAGCTATTAAAGTGTGCATACATTTTTTTTTTTGGGGTCTCTTTTTCATTGTATTTTTTAAAAAGATCATGAATGCCTTAACTGTCCCTTAATTTTTTTCCTGTTGTTGCTGCTTCCTGCCTGTCTCCACACCACCCACCACACACTCCGGTAAGCCTTTTCACATCCTGCTTTGGATAACTGACTGAAGGTCCAGAATAAGCATCGCTTTTAAAGAGCTGCTATCTGATCCATGTTTTTACTTCCCTTCAGAGGTGAAGTACGTATTCCAGAGAGAACTAGAAGATATTGTTGGTCTGCTTTTCTTGGGAAGAATTCAGTAAGGGGTGTGTGTGTGTGTGTGTGTGTGTGTGTGTGTGTGTGTGTATGTAAACTGATTCGTGTTTTGCATTATCCTGATGAACCTTATCTGAATTGTTAATACCTAGGTCCCTTGGGTTCAGGTGGCTGGGAAAGTCCTGGGACGGTTCCAGATAATAGCAAGGGCCTTGCCTAAGGAGCATTCCTCAGCTGTAAGCTGCATTCTCCCTTCTAGGTCAACTGAACCAGAGGTCAAGTGACTCCCCGAGGTGGCAGTGAAGGTGGCAGTGACTCAGCAGCTCTGGCAGGAATAGACTCCAGGCCTCACCCCAGGGAAAGCCTCAGAAGCCACTGAAGCTATTCTTCCCTCTTGTCCCAGAAGCCGACTTTGGAATCAGATTAGACTGAGAAGCCTTCACTATCCAGGCACTTTGATATTAAACAGTCCCTCCGGGAAATGATGAAGGCATTCTTAAATACTTCCAATTCCAAGCCTGCTAGCTTTGTTTTGTTTTTTTTTTCACCTGCCTCTCTTCTTTAATTCAGGTGCTGTTTCCTGGCTTTTCACAATACAGTTGCCTCATTCTCAGGCGGCCCTGGAGACCCAGCAGTAGCCTGGATGCCGCTGTGTTTCTTCCCTTCCTCGGCTCTGAGGTTCTGCACTTCTAAAGCCCCACAGAATCAGTTCTGTTTTTGTTTTAATTAACAGGCTCACACACATGGCTGGTGTGCTTCACAAATACACAGAGTGCAAGCCAGCGACAGACGGTCCTCCCCAGGAGGAGGAAGTCAGGCGGCTGCACTCTGTGCAGAGAGCGGCTCTAAGATCCTCCTGGGTTTGAGCATCACAATGGGTGTGAGGTCACCCTCACCTGGGAAGATCTGGGCATCCAGGAAGGCAAAAAATAGCCGCTTCTAGTCTCTTAAGGTTTATCCAGTTTTTGTTCATAAAATGACACCTTTTAGGTTAAAGCATGCTTTTTTTTTAACACCACACTAATATGGCCTATTAAGAAGAATGTTTGCTTTTAGGGTAGGTGGAAGGCTCCCAACAGGGTTCTTTGCTCACAAATTAACTGCTACAGGCACTTAGACCCTTCTGCGGGGAGAGCTGCGTGACTGCTCCTGTAAATGTGTCCCTTTCCTCTTCCCAGCACCGCCTGGTCCTTCGGGGCTCTCAGAGATGGAAGAGCATCGGTCTTTAGTGAGGGAACAAAGACTGTGTATGAATAAATTACTACCTGCTTTTTTGTAAGCAGAGATAAAAGTGCTCGGTTTAATTCCTTTCACGTTGTGGTTGTCCTTAATGTAGTTCTTTTTTTCTTTCTAAGTAATTTTTATTTTTGAAATAACTTTACTATTTCATTATATTCATATGGAAAAAATGTAAAGACAAAAATATAAAGAAAATTAAAAGTATCCAGTATACCCCCAAAATACAATAACAAATGATTATTTTTTTTCTAGTCTTTTTTTGTGTGCATTTACAAACACATCAGTCATGTGTGTGAGCCTGCTAATTAGAATTTTGAAACAAAATTAGTACTGTAAAATGCTTACATACCCTTTTTTTCATTTTATAGTATAGAGCAACCAATTCTTTAGGACATTAATTAATAGTATATAAAAACACGATCTTCAGTTGGCTGCTTCACAATCTAATTAGAGCTAACCCATCATGTATCCCCAATTTTTGGATATTCAGTTGGTTTTGAATATTCGCTATTAAAACTAACACTATATTAAACATCCTTCTTTATATATAGTTCTTTGGATGCATTTTTAATTTTTTAAAGATAAGAGGAGTAAAGTAACCTGCATAACAAAGTGGAAGCATTTTTAAGCCTTTTGATACATTTTACCCAACTCTCCCCAGAAAGATTGTACCGATTTACAGTGATACCAATAGTTCGAGTTCCATTTTGTCTTCATATTCCTTGGCAACATAGGAAATTGGATGTCGCCTCCCACCCTTTATTGTTAGGAATTTAATGAGGGGAGAGGGATGGTGTGCTCTTGTCTTTTTTTCTAAGGTGTAGGGATTTTTCCACGTGTTTACTGGATGTTGGCTTTCCCTCTGTTTTTTGAAGCAGTCCATGTCTTTCAGAAGGCATCTTCCACACTGGCCTGGTATGGTCTGATCACCTGTTCTTCCTTAGCGGGCAGGGGCATGAAAGCTTCTCCACGTTTCTAATCGAGCAGGAATTTCCCAAAGGACTAGAATGAGAAAGTCTTCTTATCTTTTGGGCAGCCATGCTATTTTAATGTGATAAAACAGAGAAATGGGCCTTATTCTTCAGGTTAGGGAGGATTTCTGACCATTCCATGGACCCTATCTGAGGTATGGCAGTGAGGAGTAAATCTTACTGGCTTTTTTTTTCAGGGCCTTTAAATCCTGGTCCCCTGAAACCACTTCTGATCTTTCCAGCAATGTTAATCTGTTGTCATGGCGATACTTGCTTCGCAAAGTCCAGCCTCTTTAGCAGGAAGCACCTCTGGAACTGTGGTCATGTGGATGACATCCGCCCCCCAGGTGTGACACATGGAGCTTTCTGTCCATGAACTAAAACGAGTCCTACAATTGTGAGCATTGTCCCTTTTGAGTGGCACCTGAGTCCTAGCTTCTTAGCCGTCTCTATGAGGACCTCTCGTAGGGGGCAGAGTGGCTCAGTCTCTGGAGTAGGGCACACGCCTCTGGCACAGGAACGACTCCCATCACGGGAGGTCAGAGGCCTCATGGTGGTCCTGGGATGAACTGGCCAATAATACCACCGGCTCACTCTCTTCCCTCAAGGAACTGCAAGCTGTGGTCACTGTGACATGAGAACAGCCTCCTCCTTCAGAGCCCAGATGTTCGCCTGATGACTTTTGAAGGCATGGTGGTACGCTGCCTCCCATGCCTGGCAAAGAGGATGCAATCAGCAGTCTCTATCTTCCCCCAAATTAAGGCATCAGAAGGCTCACCAAATGGACTGAGCACACATTCCTCGGTTCTTCCTTCTAAGATTTCTGGATCATCCAGGCCTGTTCCACAAATTATTCAAATCTTCACAGCATGGGGGGGGGGGCATGTCTGCACCCAGAAGAGGCTGGGGGGGTGGACACATGGGGCAGAGAAGCAGAGTGGATTTTCGCGTGCAGCCTGTAGTTGATTCTTACCTAAGACTTTTAGAAGCTCAGGGATTTTTTTAAGGAGGTGCATCTAAGCAGGAAATATGTGAGGGAGAGTGTTTGTGAAAGGGCACGTGTAAAGGTTAAGAGAAATATTGGCAGGAGTTTGGTGTTAATCCCTAGATAAGGGGCAGAAACACTTGTGAAAATTTTCTGCAGTTTATAAAACAAAATTAGTCTCCACAATAACTGCACACAACACCTAATCTTTTAAAGCAGGTATGTCAGCAATCTTGGCAAGGATAAATGTCCTGTTGATAGCGTTTTACTGTTAGAGGAAAAGTAGAATTTTTTTTTTAATGTGCTTGTAGAAAATAGTGATATTAGAGATTCTCTGAGTAGAACTATGAGTGTAACAGCTGTAGGTTTGAACCCTGTAATTATACCAGGAAATTCTCTTCCAACTCTCCCATCTTTAATTTCACTGAAAAAGCAGGTGGCTATTTATAGATGGTATATTTTTATGTATGCATATGCGGATGGTGAATACCAGTCTCCAGGGCTCCAGGAAATCCTAGAAGAGACCAAAAGCACTCCAAAGTGGACTTAAACAATTTGTAGATCTGGCCTATTTTTCTCTTATTTCACCCTCATAAAACTTGATTCTTCAACTCTTCAATTTGTGACACTTCTTACGTCTGAATCTGTGTTCCTCGCATTTCATACAAAAGTGAACTAGTTAAAAGGGTACCGTTAAAATGCCAGGACTTTGGGAAACACACATTGTGTCTCTTATTCTCTTAGATTGGGGGGGGGGGGGGGAATTCAGTCACTTGGAAATTTCTCAATTAGTGCCACAGGTGTAGAAAAAAAGGAAATTTGACCAAGACAATACTAACTTGTAAGTGACCCAGTTCGAGAAGTACTGACCAAGTGGCCACTACATAAAAGGCTTGATGACAGGGACCAGAGGGATTACAGATAAAAGCAAGAGGCACAGTCCACCTGGAAAACTTGCCACATCGCTCAGGGCAAGGAGGGCATCCCCAAGGGGAAACAAGCAACTAATTATATTTCTAGACAGAGTTTGGCAATATTTGGAGCCCAAATGTTATTTAGAATAATATTACTTGACATTTGGTGGCATTTACTGTTTTCAAAAGCCACTTTCACATTCATTATTTGACTTTATCCTCACAGTTATTATAACAACCCTTTAATGTGGAATCATTCCTATTTGAAAGATGGAGGTGGTTGTCCCTAAACCTCTTTCAGGAGACTTTACACAAACAAAATAAAATGGAGGCTATTGTGAAGGATTCCAAAGTGCATTCGCTGGGGGCCTGCTTCACTTTGCAGGAACTCTTAGGGAGCTCAGGCCCACCTTTAATGCCGCACGGCTGCTTGGCCCTGGCCTCAGATTCCGTTTAGAGTTTGAGAAGTGGTCTCTGAGAAGTGGGCATATTAGGAGCAAAAAGGGGGCAATTGGGAGGCAGAGACAAATGTGTGGGGAGTTGGCAGTGGGGCAGTAAGTCCCATACAGTCGTGAAGGAAAACAAGCTACTCAGATGGTCAGCTTTTCACCCTCAGAAAATAGGATCCCCAGACTTCAGCTGGGCCTTGCAGATTCTAGAGGACAATTCAAAGGGAAAAGTATCTTGGGGGAGGTATGGCAGGTCAGGGGATAGGAAATACAGCAGCAGCAATGAAAGCTTGTGTGACATAACTTAGCACCAGTTTTACTTTTTCATTTCCAAAGGAAAACAAATGGCACGTAGCATTGAGCTCCAGTTTCCAGGTCTGGGGTAGCTGGAGGGAGACTGGGTGGCAGCTGGTCCCTGGCTTGCAGCAGACGAAGAGAACAAGTCCTTGAGCTAAAATCATACATTATCTTCAGCACCAACAAATTGTTTGTTGAGGACCTAGGATGTGCCAGGGTGCTGGGCTAAGCCCTGGATACAGCACACTGGCTTCTGGAACGTGTTTCCGAAGCCTTAGCCAGAGCTAAGCACATGCTTCTCATCTCACTTAGTCTCTCCAGTGGGGAGTGGACTAAAGACGCCTTCCTTTGTGTTTGCAAACCACACAGGCATACCATGTTCTACTGAGCTCCGCTTTATTGAGCCTCGCAGATATCGCGTTTTTCACAAATTAAAGGTAACACCAGCAAAAAGATTATGACTCGCTGAAGCTCAGGTAATGGTTAGCATTTTTTAGCAATATCGTATTTTTAGACATAACGGTATTGCACACTTAATAGACTACATTACAGTGTGAATATAACTCTTATATGTAGTGGGAAACCAAAAAGTTCATGTGACTCCCATTACTGGGATACTTGCTTTATTGCAATGGTCTGGAACAGAACCCGCAATATCTCCGAGGTATGCCTGTATCCTTCTCCCCATGATCCTACAGTACTAGCGACAAATAGGCAACTAGACCTTGGTCATATTCTGAAGACGGGAAACCATGAGGTTAGCAGCAGCTTGTTCAAGGTCATGAGTAATCCCAGGCCAGGCCCGGCCACAATAAAGGATCACGCAGGTCTCCCACGGACTCTGAATCTAGCGGGCTTTCCTTCAGAACAGTGTGCTTTGGAGGTTCGGTGTGGCTAGAAGGAGAGGAACCCAAGAGGGCCAGGGGAGAGATAGGCGCTGGGAG